GGGGAAAGTAAATAATAGTCAATAGTCAATAGTTAATAACATTAATTTATAAGCACTCACTTATTGGTTAATCTTTTAGTCAAGTATACTATTACATCTCTAATTTCTATAAAATATAAACTTAAACTAAAAAAAAATCATTCAACATATTGAATCAAAACATTTTAACTGTATATCTACAGAATACAAATATCCTCATAACAGTATTCATTATATACTTTCTTCACAGATTTCAGCTTTTTATTAAAAAGTCTAAGGCCAAATTAATAGAACAAATTACAGGAATAGAGAACCACAGGGGTAGCCGAGTTAGTCTGTACAGAATAAACTTAAAAAACAACAAAGTGCTACCATTCTATTTGTTGTTTTTTTAGGAATAGAAAATATCTGTTATCCAGATTCTCATTACTTTCAGTTTAGTGACTCTGGTGTGCCTCACAACATCTGCAATTTGAGAATGTCACCAGGTTTTCTAGAATAAACTATTTTCATCTGTTTAATCAATTTATTGATTAGAACAGACAGACTAGGTTTCCTCTTTTTCTGTTTATCCCCTTGTACTGTCTTGCTAGTAAGAATCGTTGATGGTTAACAATCCCATTAATTTCTCTATGTATGCTTAATATAATCATGGTTGTTAAAAATCAATTTTTTTTATTAAAAAAATAAATTTTAGATTTTTCTAATTTAAATCAGATTTTTTAAAATCATTAATAAAATACTAAATTTCTCATTTGAAAAAAGGAAAGTTACTCACCTCATGCAGTAACGATGGTTCTTTGAGATGGGTGTTGGCTCGTTCCAGCACTGTAGATCAGAGACTTTTTCAACAGTATCCAGGCAGGCCACACATGCACAAAAGCGGTGTGCACTAATCGCGCCCCTGGAGTTTGCGAGTATAGCCCGACTCCCCTCAGTTTCTTCATGAACCCCCCGTTGCCTGAGTTGTGAAGCTGAAGAAGACAGTAGGAGAGTGAGTAATGGAGCACCCACAGGGGGGACATATCTCAAAGAACTGTCATTACTGCACAAGGTGAGTAACTTTACTTTCTTCTTCGAGTAATGTCCCTGTGGGTACTCCACTGTTTGCTACTACCTAGCAGCATCCCACAGATGGTAGATGGGCTTCGGCTGGGTTCTATGTGCTGATGATATAACTGAGTGGATTACTGCAGAACTCATGTCTGCTGTAGCCAAAATTGCATAATGTTTCAGGAAAGTGTGATTGGAGGACCAGGCAGTGGCTTGACATATGTTTGTGAGTGGAACTCCTTTCAAGAAGGCTGTTGATGGTGCATGTGGAGTGTGCCCTAGGAGGCATGGACAGTGGAGTATCCTGAAGGGAGTAACATTGGAGGATATATGATGTAACTAATTTAGAAATCCTCTGGGACGAGAGTGACATTCTCTTCGAACACTCTGCCAGTAAAATGAACAAAGTGTGTGACTTCTGGAAGGACCGCGTACAGTCTATATAGAAAGATAATGCTCTGCAAACATCTAGTGTGTGCAGAATAGCCTCCTCTCGAGAAGTGTGAGGCTTTGGGTGAAAGGTTGGAAGTACTATGGGTTCACTGATATGGAAGTCAGAACAAACTTTGGGGAGGAAGAAAGGGTGGGGACGTAAAATGACTATCTTCCTGGAAGATGTTGTAAGGGAGCGATGCTGTTAGAGCAGCGAGTTCGCTGACATATCTTGTCGACATGATGGCAAGTAGGAAAACAGTCTTTAAGGTTAATAATTGTAGTGAACACTTAGCCATTGCTTCAAACCGTGGTCTGGATAGTGCATACAGTACTAGTTCCAGATTCCAAGTGGAAGGAATCAGTCTACGGGGTGGGTGTAGGTTGTGCCACCGTTTTAGGAATCTGTGAGATTTGATGGTCAAATATAGAGAAAACCTCCACAGGTGGGTGAAATGCTGCGAGGGAGGCTACGTGCACTGTCACCAGAGCCATGTAGATTAGTTTACTAGACATACCCAAATGAAGCGGTGATTTAAATAATCGCCTTATCGGCTCAGCGCGCTAGTCTGGACGCTCCATGGTCGACATCAAAGGCATTTGTCGACTGCCCCATTATGCTTCGTGGAATGAGGTTTACTGGGGCGGTCGACAAATGCCTTTGATGTCAACCACGGAGTACTCTGAAGATGAGTGGGATAGGTGGAAATGAATACAGAAGGTGAGTATTCAATGAAATGAGGAGAGCATCCCCCAAAGATCCAGACCCCATGCCCGCTCTGGAGCAGTAACGAGGGAATTTGGTATTGTGCTCTGTGGCAAAGAGATTTATGAGTGGCCAGCCCCATTGGCGGCAAATGTCATGGAGGATCATGGTATGTATTTCACACTAGCGCTCTGTCATAAAGTTGCGGCTGAGTGAATCATTCTTGATGCCAGGTAGGTATGACGCAGAGATGGTAATATTGTGCTGGATGTATCAATTCCATAAGTGCACTGCTTCTGCACAATAGGTGTGGGAACGTGCACCCCCTTGACAGCTGATGTATACATCATTGCAACGTTGTCTGTAAAAATACGGATTGTGGAATCGAGAATGTATTGCCAGAATTGTTTGCAGGCATTGTGTACTTCTTGAAGCTTGATGTGATGTACAGCTTGGATTCATTGGCAGACCACCTGCCTTGTGCAACATGATGTTGAAAACGGGTTCCCATGCCAAAGTGGTAATCTTTAAAAACAATAGGAAACTAGCAGGTCTTGGTCTTTGGCTGGCCAAGAGAATGAACCAAACCCCATGGAGAGGGAGACCCTGGTTTGAAGGATTAGCTGGAAAAGGAACAGTTTTAGCGTGAGTTCGTACTAAACTTGTACTGAGGATTTAGTGTTACAATCAGCTAAGCATTTTCTGTTATTTTAAGTTGGTAACCTACTTTGCTCTGTCTGTTCTCACTTATTACCACTTGAATCTTGCTACTTGTACTTAATAAAATCACTTTTATTTACTATCAAGCCCGTGTAAATAACTGTTACCTGTGGAAGCCACCAGTGTGCATGTCCCCACTTTCGTTGCTTACCCCCCGAAAGGGGACTTACTGAAATAATTCATTTGGGGTATGTCTACACTACCCCGCTAGTTCGAACTAGCGGGGTAATGTAGGCATACCGCACTTGCAAATGAAGCCCGGGATTTGAATTTCCCAGGCTTCATTTGCATAAGCGGGGAGCCGCCATTTTTAAAATCCCGCTGGTTCGAACCCCGTGCAGCACGGCTACACGGGGCTCGAACTACCTAGTTCGAGCCCCGTGTAGCCGCGCTGCACGGGGTTCGAACCAGCGGGATTTTAAAAATGGCGGCTCCCCGCTTATGCAAATGAAGCCTGGGAAATTCAAATCCCGGGCTTCATTTGCAAGTGCGGTATGCCTACATTACCCCGCTAGTTCGAACTAGCGGGGTAGGGTAGACATACCCTTGGGGTTCTGATCCCATTTGGGGAGTGGTATCCCAGGAAGCTGGGCCCCAAACCGTTTTTTCCTTAGACCTGAAGAGGTTCAGTGTCTGTACTGCTTTTTGGGAAGGGAGTGGTATCCCAGGAAGCTGGGCCCCAAACCGTTTTTTCCTTAGACCTGAAGAGGTTCAGTGTCTGTACTGCTTTTTGGGAAGCAGTGATCTCAGCTCTGTGCTTTGGCTGGGAGAGACCAGAGGAGCTGGCCCAGCAGGACAGAGTGGTGAGAACAGGAAGGCGAGTGGCAGTGGCCTTGCCAGCACTCTGGGAAATACCCCCAAGGGGTCTTCTGTGACTACACCCCATTACAATCTCTAATCCACACCCCCTATCCAATGACGAGTGGCAATTTCAGATTGCAGTTTGCCCCTGTGCAGGAGCTAGATGACAACTGGCAGTGGGTCACTGAGTCAAGGTGGGCACAGAAGATTGGGGTTCTCTAGGAGGAGAGGACCCCAGAGCATAGGGGCACTGCTGTGGAGCAGTGCTGCAAGGAAAGCAGCACAGAAGACAGGTAACTAAGGGCAAGACACCAGTCAATAGTGGGTGCCCCAGGGCTGGAAGAGCTAATTCCTGAGGAGACCAGCAGGAGGTGCCATGATGGTGAGTTGAACCATAATAAGACACAGACATGCTGTGTACACATTTATTCTATTTAAGGCCCAGAAGATGTACCATATTTCTCTTTAAGTATCCTTATACTTCTCAAGTTACTTTGGGTAACTTCCCTGGCTAAATAAAAACTCATACAAAATTTAATATTCTAATTTGGAAACTGAATATTCAATATTCTCAATATTTACCAATATGTATTGAAAAAGAAGAGAAATTTACCAAGTAGAAAAAGGTGATGAGCTACACATTTCTGAGGTCCATCATACTTTAAAATAATTATGACTCCATTTCATAATGAATACTACCGTACATCTTAATTCAAACCTAACTTCCTATGCTTGCTGTAGTAGTGGAAACACATTTCCACTTAGCTTTCATGACAACATAAACAATGAGGAAAGATACTGGAAACATTCTTAAACTGTAAATCTCATTTGTTCTATAATGTTCATCCTTAAACTAGCCTGTGAAATCATCCTTATACTTTAAAACTCAAGTTTAAATTAGGGATGTTAGATAGTGTGTAAGAAATTGTTACTCACCTTGTGCAGTAACATCTGTTCTTCGAGATGTGTGTCCCTGTGGGTGCTCCACTACAGGTGTCGGGCTCGTCCCAGTGCCACAAACCGGAAAGTTTTCACCAGCAGTAGCCCCCTCCGGAGAACCGCGCATGCGCAGAGCGTCCCGTGGCATTTGCACCTATTCTGCGTCGTGCGGTCTGACTCACCAGTTCCTCCTAGCCGGAACATCTGAAACAGAGAAAGACAGAGCTCTGAAGCAGGGAGGAGGGCGGGTCATGGAGCACCCACGAGGACACACATCTCGAAGAACAGATGTTACTGCACAAGGTGAGTAACAATTTCTTACACACTATCTAACATCCCTAATTTAAAAGGTGAGTATGAAGCAGTCACCCAAACAGCTGGTCGTGCTTCGGAATTATCTGTGCACAGAAGAAAGAACTGCCTGAGCTACTGCTATGTCTGCAGCTTTGAGACAGTCAAGGGCATAATGTCGAGCAAACGTGGATGAGGACGACCATGTTGCTGCACGGCATATGTCACGTAGCAGGACGTTCTTTAAAAATGCTGTGGAGGCAGCCATGCTCCTGGTTGAGTGTGCTGTTGGTGGACAGGGTAGGGGCCTGCCCCTGAGGGTGTAGCAGCGAGTGATGCAGTTAACGATATGCGACGATATACGTTGTGACGACAGTTGATGACCTTTAGAGCGGGTTGCCACTGATAATAGTAATCATGGAGACTTCCGGAAGGGACGTGTTCTGTCTAAATAGAATGCCAACGCCCTTCTGACGTCTAATGTATGCCAGCGGGCTTCCTCAGGTGTAGCATGTAGCTTGGGGTAGAAGGTAGGAAAGACCATAGGCTCATTGACGTGGAATGACGAATTAACCTTTCGCACGAAGGCTGGGTGACATCTCAGTGAGACGCCCTGCTGAGTGAATACTGTATAGGGAGGATCGGCGGAGAGTGCCGCGAGCTTGGAGACTCGTCGGGCTGAAGTGATCGCAAGGAGAAAGGCAACTTTAATAGTGAGAGTCTGTAAATCACAAGTTGTGAGTGGTCCAAATGGTGGACGGGTAAGAGTGTCCAGTACGAGGGTAAGGTCCCATGGTTCCGAGATAGGCCTATGCGGTGGGTAGAGATTGGAAATACCCTTAAAGAACCTCTCATCCACTTACGAAGAGAAGACGGAAAAACCCTCTATCGGAGCGTGGAAGGCCGAAATCGCCACCAAATGTACTCTTAGGGAAGCGACTGCCAAGCCTTGCGAATGTAAATGGAGTATATAGTCTAGGATGCATTGGATACGTGCTTTGAGAGGATCGATGGTTTGTGATTGGCACCAAGTATAGAAGCGACGCCACTTGTAGAGGTAAGATCTCTGAGTGCTGTGACGTCTGCTTTGTACCAGTACGTCTCTGACTTCTTGGGAGCAGGTTAGCTCTAGGCCTTGGAGCCAGTTAGGAGCCAAGCTGTCAGATGCAAACGGTCGATGTTCGGATGGAGAAGATTGCCGCGTTGTTGCGAGATCAAGTTGCTCAGCTGTGGAAGTCGTTGAGGTCTGGATAGCGACATCTGCATGAGTTGCGTCAGCCATGTCTGGCGAGGCCAGAAGGGAGCCACCAGGATTACTGTCGCTGCGTCGGATAGTATTTTCCCTATTACTCGGGGTATCAGTGGAATCAGGGGAAAGGCGTATAGGAGATATGTTCCCCAATTGAGCAGGAAGGCATCTCCTATCGATTGGCTGCCTATGCCCGCTCTTGAGCAGTAAGCGCGACATTTCTTGTTGTCACGAGTGGCAAAGAGATCGATTTCTGGGTAGCCCCATAACTGAAACAGATCGTGGGCTATGTAGTTGAGGAGTCCCCATTCGTGTTGGGATTGGAAGGATCTGCTGAGTGCATCTGCAATTGTATTGACCTTGCCGGGGAGATAGGAGGCTGTGAGTGTGATACTGTGGCGAATCGCCCAGTTCCAAAGCGCACTGATTCCGCACACAAGGTCCTGGATCTGGCTCCGCCCTGTTGATTGATGTAGTATACAGTGCATATGTTGTCCGTAAGGACCTGTAGTGTGGTTCCCTGGATCTGGTGGACGAAGTGGCGGCAAGCGTTGAAAACTGCTCTGAGCTCCAGGAAGTTTATATGGAGTAGGGATTCCTGGTGGCCCTGTCGATTGATGTAGTATACAGTGCATATGTTGTCCGTAAGGACCTGTAGTGTGGTTCCCTGGATCTGGTGGACGAAGTGGCGGCAAGCGTTGAAAACTGCTCTGAGCTCCAGGAAGTTTATATGGAGTAGGGATTCCTGGTGGGACCACAAGCCTTGAACCCGATGTTGTAGTATATGTGCTCCACAGCTTACAAGAGATGCATCCGTGGTAAGCTGGATTGACGGGGGTTGAGCCCGGAAGGGGACACCAGCAAGAGTATTGACAGGGTGGAGCCACTATGCGACCGAGTCCCTGACGTGGGCAGGAACAGGCGTGAGCCTGTTGATATTGGTAATACCGGGTCTGTAGGTTGCCAGAAGCCAATGTTGCAGGCACCGCATACGAAGGCGAGTGTGCGCTATGACGTATGTAGTGGAGGCCATGTGGCCTAACAGCTTCAGGCAGGTAAGGTACGAGACTGCCGGAGCAGTAAGCAGGACGCTCGATAGGTCTCGGATGGCGTGGGCTCTGTCCATGGGTAGGTACGCCATAGCGGTTGTAGAATCCAGTCTGGCTCCAATGAATTCGATGGACTGGGCCGGGACCAGAGAAGATTTTGGTAGATTGATGATTAGTCCAAGAGTCTCGAAGATACCTCTTGTAGTGGTAAGTGTGGTCTCGGCCTCTTGCATCGAGGGGGCCGTGAGGAGGCAGTCGTCGAGCTAAGGAAAGATGGTGATGCCGGCTCGACGAAGGTACGCAGCTACGACTGCCAGGGTCTTCGAAAACACTCGTGGGGCTGCGGATAGGCCAAAGGGGAGCACCGCGTATTGGTAATGATCGTTGCCCACGGTAAAGTGTAGAAATCTCCTGTGAGCTGGATGGACGGCAATATGGAAGTATGCATCCTGTAGATTGAGGGATGCAAACCAATCCACTTTGTGTAGTGCTGAGATGATGGAGCCCAAAGTAACCATTTTGAATTTCTGTCTTCGCAGGTGGCGGTTGAGGCCGCGAAGATCCAGGATCGGTCTCCATCCGCCAGACTTCTTCTCGGTGAGGAAGTACCGGGAATAGAAGCCTCTGCCTCGGAACTCGGAAGGAACTACTTCTACCGCACCTATGGTAAGTAGGTGCATGACCTCCTGACGTAACAGAAATTCGTGAGAGGGGTCCCTGAAAAGGGACAGGGATGGGGGGTTGGTGGGAGGTAGAGTGGAGAAGGGAATGGTGAGTCCCGAGGTTACGATCTCCCTGACCCAACGGTCCATGGTGATGGTGAACCAACGGCGGCAATAAGGGTTCAGGCGGCGGTGGAAAAGCTTGGTTACTCGTGATGGAGACTCCAATAGGGGGATGGTACGCAGACCCTCGACAAGGGCGTCAAACTTGCTGCCGCTGTTGTTGTTGATTCTGATGCTTATTAGGCTGTTGGCAGCGACGTTGGGGGCGCTGCCTTTGTTTATGTTGGTCGTAGGGCCTGAAGCGTTGGGTGGAATAATAAGAAGAAGGCCTTTGTCTGTTATACGGCCATGCTCTCCTGCGCCTGAAAGGCGGAGTGTACATCCCGAGGGTTCTAAACGTAGTTCGGGAGTCTTTTCCGGAATGGAACACTTGATCCGTGTTCTGGGCAAACAAGGAGGCTCGATCAAATGGAAGGTCCTCCACCTTGGGCTGTAGATCTTTTGGCACAGAAGCAAGGTGGAGCCAAGAGGCACGTCGCATTACGACCGATGTCGCTGTAGTGTGGGAAGCCGAGTCGGCAATATCCAGAGATATCTGGAGTGCATTACGGGCTGTTGTATAACCCTCCTGCACAATGGATTTCAGTACATCCCTTTTGGAGTCTGGCAGATGTTGTATCAAAGGCACCAACTTCGAGTAATTATCAAAGTCGTGGTTAGCAAGTTGGGCGGAGTAGTTGGTCATCCTCAGTGTGGCTGTTGCCGACGTATATACCTTCCTGCCGAGCAAGTCCAGACACTTAACTTCCTTGTCCGCAGCAGAGTTTCTCGATTGCGCAGACTTCACCTTTTGCTGGGCTGCGTCGAGGACGATGGAATTAGGGGCGGGGTGAGTAAAAAGAAATTCTGCTTCTTTGGCGTCAACAAAGTATTTCCTGTCTGTGTGTTTATTGCTAGGGGGCACGGATGCCGGGGTTTGCCAGATGTCATTAGCTACTTCAAGGATAGCAGCATCGAAAGGGAGAGCTAGTTTCGATTTGTTGGGCTGGAAAAACAATATGGCCTATGCTTACTGTATCCTGGAGAAACAAAAACCGCCCTTCATTCTACTGGCAAGTGGAGTCTGTCCATGCCATTACGGAGATGCAGGAGACGGAAAAACCCCAACGCGCCGTCACAGTGGCTTTTGCTTTTCATGCTATACGCTGTAGCTAGCTTTGCTGACCAGCTCTGGCTCAGCTGCGAAAAGTCGCAACGGTTGAGGACAACAGTGGCACATCATCTCCAACTTTCATCATATCATTATTCCTGGGTAATGTTTCGGAGTATAATTGCTGCTGCTCTGGAGACGAGGTGGGGAGGGACGGCCTTGTGAAGGAACGTGAACGATCACGATGGGGCGAGGTACACCTACGGTAATGGGAGTCATGGTGCGAATATGCCGGAGAGTAAGAAGAAGCACTCCTATGACGATAGTAACACGAGCGCGGAGGGGATCCTGGGGATCGTGAGCAATGGGAATTACAACATGGAGATCTTGAGTAGTATGTGCGGTGGTAACGTGGCAGTGTGATAGATTGCCTTGGAGATTTGCAGTAACAGTGTATGGGAGAGTGTCTCCTGTGGCGATAGTAACGGGAGCGAGGAGGAGATCGCGGGGATCGTGAGCGGTGTGAATGGTGATATGGAGATCTCGAGTAGTATGTACGGTGGTAACGCAGCGGTGTAATAGATCACCTCGGAGATCTGTAGTAACAGTGCATAGGAGAATAACCGTAATGGTGGTCCCGCCATCTTTGGCAAGGTGAGAGCAATGGCTCAGGGGAAAACACCGCCCTGTCGGGACTGGGGGAAGGTGTACGGGGATGGTGAGTCTTCCTTTGCGCCTTAGTCGGTACCCCCGTGGATGGGGGAGCCCTGGGGATTGGACTACCTGGAATGGAGATGACCGAGGCAAAGTCAGAAACTTCCTCCGGGAGGCGTGGTGACCGAAGTGCGGAGGATGGGGATGGTGGTGCCGTATCATCCCCTGAGCCGTGGGGTTGTGGGCCCGTAGGGGCTGGCGCCGAAGCGACGGACGGTGCTGGTTCAGCCGCACACAATGGGTGGTCAGTGCGGGCCGGTGCAGGCGTGCCTATGGGGGCGGGTTGACCTAGGTGCCGAGTGCTTTCTCGGTGCCGTCTCCAGTGTCTGCACTGGTTGTGGCTTAGTCTTCGGTGCCTGCTTAGGCTTCGGTGCCGGGTCAACTCTCGGTGCTGGGTTAGTCTGAGAGTCTTCATGAGGCAACGGTGCCGAGTGTCTCGGTGCCGAGGACTGCACCGTATCTGGCTGCGGTGCCGCTCGGAGACTCGGTGCCGCAGATGATGGTGCCGATTCCGGACGACGTGGCGGGACCGAGAGCACTGAGAGTGCGGGGCTTGGCGCCGACGTACTACGGGCTTTGGGTAACTTGTCCACTCTCTGCGTGGGAGGGTAGCCCGATGAGCCTCGTGTCTCTCCTGCACTTAGGCTCCTGGATGGAGTGGAGCTTTTTCCGTCCCTGGACCTATGCGGGGCTGAAGCTTCCCGTTCTTCTACTGACGGGGGCTGAAGCGCCTTATTGAAGAGTAGCATCTTCAGGCGCATTTCTCTGTCCCGCCTTGCCCGTGCGGTCAACTTGGAACAGTGACCGCATTTCTGGGGGATGTGGCCCTCTCCCAGGCAGCGAATACAGTGGGAGTGGCCATCGGAGACCGGCATGGCGTCACCGCACGAAGCACATTTCTTAAAGCCGGGAGAGCTGGGCATGTTTAGTGCAGCGGTCTCCGGGGGAAGAAAGAACTTGAGGAGCTGGTCAGAGCGGCCCTCAGAGGTTATAACGGCAAGAGAAATTTTTTATTTTTTTTAACTATTAACTACTAACTAACTAAGATAATAACTGACTAACACTATGTAGGAAGGGGCTAACTGGGAAAGAACAAACGATACGATTTCTACTCAGGAGAGGAGCATGTTCCAAGTCCGTCTGCGGCCGTAGACGGTTAGGAGGAACTGGCGAGTTGGACCGCGCAACGCAGAAAAGGCGCGAACTCCACGGGACACTCTGCGCATGTGCAGTCCTCCAGAGGGGGCTACTGCTGGCGAAAACTTTCCGGTTTGCGGCGCCAGGATGAGCCCGACACCTGTAGTGGAGCACCCACGGGGACATCACTCGAAGAAGAACTGAATAGTCATGCAACTGCACCAAATGTTAGCAGTTACAGGACTATTCAATAGTCCCCACGGGTGGGGCCAGCAGCTAGCGTGCTCCCGGCCCCACTCCCAGAGAGACCCTCTGCTGCCTCTCTATCAGAGGCAACAGAGCGAGGTGACATGTGAAGCCCATCTAAAAACTCCTGCCTGCCACCCCATGCTGCTGTCTGATAGCAGCTTCGGTCCTCAGGGAGCTTGGAAACCCCATAGGGGCTGCAGCTGCAGAGCAGCCTCTGTCTGAGGTAGGCCCAGGGTCACTGCAGACAGAGGCTACTCCATGGGATGCCAGAACATCCCCCATCCACAGGGTGCTTGGACACCCCTCCCCTGTCCCCACAGAAAGGGGCTGTTGCTGTGGAGCAGCCTCCCCTTCCCCACCCTGCTGCCCCAGTGGTAGGGCAGGCAGCACCATGGAGCCAGTGCTAGGGGGAATCAGCTTTTAAATTGGTTTTCCCCATCACCGGCTCCCTGTCTGCCCACCCTACTCCCCTCTGTAGAAGGCAGCAAGTGAGGGGGCAGGCGGGTCCATGGAGCCAGCATGCCTCACCCTCTGTGCTGCTGCCTCTCTTTGGGTATGTCTATACAGCAAAGTTGTTTCGAAATAACTTTTCTAGTGTCTACACAGCCAAACCGTTATTTTGAAATTAAATCGAAATAGCGGAGCGCTTATTTCGAATTTGGTAAACCTCATTTTACAAGGAATAATGCCAAATTTGAAATAGCTAATTCGAAATAAGCGCTGTGTAGATGCTTATTTCGAAATAGGGGGCTTCCAGCCCTTCCCAGAGTGCCCTAGTGGCCACTCTGGGCACAACCAGGAAAACTTCCTCTCCTCTCCCCCAGCCCCAGAGCCCTTAAAGGGGCAGACTCTGGCCACAGAGCCTGTGCCAGCTCCAGGTCTGCCAGCACAGAGCCAGCAGTCGCTGCCCCTGACACAGTGGCCCCACCATGAGCCAGGCAGCCAGTGCCAGCCAGCCCTTCACTGCTCTCTGGGCCCAGTCCCCCAGCTCCCAGGAGACTGCCAGGGGCCGAAGAAGGCAGGCACCTTCCTAGTCCAGTATGGAGATCATGAACCTAATTGAGGTTTTGGAGGAGGCCTCCAACGTCCATGATCTCCGCACTAGATGGAGGAATGCGGCCATCTACAGATGGATGGCTGACAGCCTGACCACCAAAGGGCACATGCGCACCCAGGAGCAGGCGCGCATGAAAATTAAGGAGCTGAGGCAGGCCTATGCCAGGGCCACAGGGGGCAGCACCCAAACAGGGGCAGACACCTGCCCCTATTTTGATGCCCTGGACCGCATCCTGGGGTGGCGGGACGATCTATGCCACCCCAGGGTCTTCGATCCTGGAGCAGAGGGCCCTGACCAGGGCGTGGAGGAGGAGCACCAGGAGTTGCAGGAGCCCAGAGGGAACATGACACGCAGCCAGGACCCCTGAGCCATCCCAGCAGATGGGGAGGCACAGACTGTCCCACCCCCCCAGTGTCATCCGGGGAGGCAACAACATGTGAGTGCCTTCATTGTCCCCTTATTGGGGGGCGGGGAGGGAGACCAGGGACCGCGCGCATGGGCCTTGCTTACCACGGACCACGCAGCAACCTGTGCATGTGTGAGCATGTGTCATGCCACCCCTGGG